GGAAACGCGCACCAAACTCGGACAGTCCTTAAACCACAATGAATAGGACGTGAGCTCGTTATAGTCGAGGACGATCCGCGTCAAATTCGGCATGCCGTCGAAAGCGCCCGGACTAATGGTAGCGAGCTTGTTCTCGGACAAATCGAGCACTTCCACGGGCGCGTAGTTGAAAATTCCCTCTTTGATCGCCTTCAGCGGGTTCCTCGTGATATTCAGATATTTCAAACTCCCCGGCAGATTCTTGAAACTCCCGACCTCTATCTCGCTCACGTCGCAATCGTGCAGCGCGAGGCTCCGCAAATTTCGGGCGAAACTCACGTCGAAACTTCGCAGGATAATCGGCACTTTCTGGTCCAATTTGATTTCGGCGGCGTCGCGCAGCGTCTCGGAGATCTCCCGGCCGGCGGGGAACTGGTGGCCCCTGGCGTCGTCCGGCAGCCGGTAGATCAGGGAAAAATCGAAAGTCGTCGCCCATATCGACGATACCGTTTGCAGATAGACCAGCAGGAGGAGCATTTTCGCCAATTTCTGCCAACGGACTGAACCGCCGATCGCCTGGGTGCCGACGGCGAATGAGATAAGCGGCGGATGCGTTAAATTTATTTGTTAATTTCCTCGCCACTATTGTTAGTAAGGCTGTTCTAATTTTCGTTGATCAGTAAACCAGACGAAGACAAATTAGTTGGGTCATAGATTTTATTATACTAGACACGGATAACTACCAGGCGACTTTAAATTGTTGATACGTACCATCAATACTTAATAATATAATTTGTTATATTACTTGGGTTGCAATATAAGAGAGTCGATATCAAAGAGGGTTAATATCTAAGATATTCGATATCTAATTAATATCTAAGATAGCCGTAATCTAAGAGAATGAATAACTAATGCCCGGTTTCTCGACTCTGCGATAACTAAAAGTTAACCTTTCAATAAGTTAACTTTTCAATAAACTAGGTAACCTTCGGAATCGGGTTTCTCGATTCGAAATCCAAGTTTTATGCAACAACTATAACGTTAAACCCTCCCAGTTCAGTTAACTTCCCAATAGCAAGCGATAGTTAAACGTGGAAGGTCGAGAAACCGGGCATAAGAGAGTCAATAATGTCAATATCTAAGAGAGTGAATATCTAAGAGAATGATGAATAATATCTAAAGAGAATCAATATCTAAGATATCATCAGATAACATAAGGATTGCAAAAACTACATCAATCGTACCTACTACATTTTTTCATATGTGTTACTTGAAGTAAAAAACGCAATTTACATTTTCATTTTACATCTGTTTTCCTGCTAAACGATCCCTTTTGTCTACTCAACTAGCGGGCAGGACCGAATAACGCAAAAACAAAACGAAAATACAATCTATGTAGCAGTAAATTGCCCCATTCTAGGCGCTTTTTTTTATATTTCAATTCACGCCAGCGGCAAAACGACGTCGGCGTCGCCCGAAACGCGTCCGTACGCGCCTCAATTTTGCACGTGTGGGCCCATACAAAGCGGGAACCGCCGCGTTTCCCGCGTAGTTAGACGGCCTCGCCTGGTATTCGCTGGATTTTCGCAGGGATTCGCTCGGATGAAATTCACGCGACTCCGCGTATGTGTAATTTATGCAGCGCCTCGTCGTCGACGATTCGCAAAGCGTTCAAAAACGTCCCGATTAGGGAAATTAGCGGACTTTTTTCGACGCTCGTGCAAATAAGTTGCTCGCAATTCGCAAATTTGATTTAAAAATTACCCTAACGTGATGCACGTTTTATTAATTGTTAAACCTCTGTGCTTTTTGTACGTTAACTGTTTAAAACCTGATGTGATATTTTGGCGAAAATCTAAAATCCTGGATAGGCCATCGCGGCGCAGTAAATTCTCTATAAACGCCCAATTGAGGAACGCATTCGAGAGATATACGTCCAGCGGAGCAGATAAGAGTCCTCCGAAGATTCGACCATCCAGGACGATAACGAGACCGTCTTGAATTATGCGCATTTTATATCAAGCGGTCCGGAATAATTTCGTCAGTTATCGATGGTGTTATTGAAATGGCGAAGCGCGTTTATTTCGGACCGATATCGTCCCGAAAAGGCCGAATATGGTCCGAATATAGCGCGTGAAAGGGCATTTTTGGGATGGAATTCAAATGGGTTGTGTTTGTATAAATAGTTTTTTTAGGTCACATACCTTTTTCATTCCAGAAATCAAATTTTTTGCAACACCATTTACTTCTTTTATTTGTTATATTCCTACAATTGTATAGGCACTTTAAGAATGTGTCAAAAATAGAAGAAATGTTCTGTCAAATGTCAATGGCGAAGAAAAATAATGGTGAGCATATCTACCAGGTATATGACGTCAAAGTATAGTGAGTTGCCTGATTCAAACACAAATTTTGTAACCTACTTTCAGGATCCTGCCAACAATAATAACTGGACAAAATATCGACAGCACCCGGTAGAATTAGCAATTTTCTTCCCGTATTTACTTAACGACCCGATAAAGCGTCACCAGACATCACTTGAGCGTCCACTAGAACGAAATAAATTTTCCGAACCGTTACCTTGTGTATTCCTTATATCAATGGGACTCGGACTTTTTTTCCGTTTGATTGGAAAATGGGACACATGTGGAGAATGCTTAACAAGATACGTTCGGGTGGATCTCGAGGAAATCCCGTAAATTGTCCGTTACTGGTGCGAGAGGAAAGAAAAAAAGGGAAGAAGGGTTGATTTGGCAGGGCTCGAGGGCCTACCGGATGGATATTGGGTTTTTTCAAGATGCTGTATCGAAATGAGTATCTGTATGAAATAATACATATTGGAGGAAAAATCTGGCTCGTTCGAGAGTGAAGCAGATAAAGAATGATCGATTAAATATTTATATCCACTTTGGTAGATAATGGTTAGAATTCCTCGGGCGGATCTTAGCCGCTCCGGCGTAATTAAATTTCGAGGAAAGCCGTATTGAAAGCATTAGCGGTCTCGATATAAAACCTTTCAGACCTCTCTCGTAAAGTCAATCCGGCTTAATAGTATTTCATAAGGTGTCCATCGCCGAAAACGCGCGCCGTAGGGAATTTCGGTCGTTTCATCTCGTCGAAATCCCCGCAGCTCGGCATTCCTCTATCGGAAACCAGGCGCCCGGATTGCGCGGAGCGGAAAATGCGCGGATAAAGACCGAGATGTAGAAAGACGCAAACATCTCTTCGGGAAAATAAGGATAAGCCGCCCTTAATGTGAGAATCTGTCCTTAGGGTGCTAATAAGCTTCGGGTCGGACGGCTTATTAGCTTCTGATCGAAATTGGCCTGCTTCGGTGACGGTACAAAATGAGGAATCGAACGACGGCGACCCGTGGCGTAGCGTCGCGACGCCGTGTAATTGGAAATTATTTCGTAATTTGAACAAAACTGTTGCTTCCAAATTTATGCTTAAATAAAATGTATCAATTCAACATCAACTCTAAACCAAGTAGGTTAGACCGCTGGGTTTCGGAATCGAATCTTTGGCACAAGATTTAATAAGGAAAAGGAAAAACTTCGGAAACGTACTTAAAGAACTGCGTAACCTTTCTCATTTTTATGCTAAACTGCAAAAGTATTTAACAGAAAAGTTTCGGAAAGCTTGCATAAATTTCCGAGCTGCCGTTCCGCTCATGGCGCATATTTTATCTCTTTGATACGAAGATTTTTGCACTATTTTTCATCCTTCGGTTGGTTCGAAACATGGCGATAATTCAGGAGGAAGGCGCGTTTTTCTGCGAGAATTAATGGCTCAACATTTACATAGAATTATTAACAAAGGGAAATTTTCCACCTCCAGCCGACCGTGTATTTCATTAAAGATAATAATTACTAATGGAAAGGGAGATAATTGCTTTTTTCAGGAATTATTAAGGCAGGCTGAATTTGGCAGTCATTTGCAATGCAATTTCGACGCGATCAAATGAAATTTTCGTATAATAGCGAATAGAAGATTTGAAACCAACGTTGCCAGTTGTACTGAAATTTCACTCTAATTACTGATTTTTATGAGCACCGATCAAACTAAATTTTCGTCAGGGTAAAATAAAAATAAACGGACATTCGCCAACCTAACTTTCAATTACCACGACGGACTTCTTTGGGGGTTTGTACGGTAAATTTGGCGCGCCCTCATTATTTTCGGAGCAAATAACAGCCGGGTGCAGCGGTACGTTTTGGAAAACAAGTAATTCAATTCTCGCGGAAAATCCTGCAAAGCTTCACCGCTCTGCCCACGAAACAATGAGGCTTTTTCGTTTATTTTATGTAGAGAATACACAAAACGCGACCACCAGTTTCGAATTACGTAGAATTTAAGTAGTTACAAAATAATTTTGCATCCGTCTAAAAGTAATATCGATTCTCGCATATTTATTAACTCAATAACCGGCGTTTTTATTGAGCCGAATGCCAATAAATCAGCGAGATGAGGGGCTACAAATAGACCATCATAAATATCAAGGAATTTTCATTATCCTATCCGCATATAATAGAATATAATTAGTACATCCCCCGGCTTCTCCACCGCCGCCGAATCCTACGGCCTATTTGAAATATAGGGCAGTTCGCATTTCATACTAGTATAAATTTCACGAAAAATGAACTAGTGCGCTTAATTGCTTTACTGTCAACAAACATAAATTTCCGTTAATGTAAATAGCATTAGCACGTTATTTATGTTGCCAGCGTTCCGGAAACGGTTCTTTTAGCTGAAAGCAAACGTTAGTTACGGCGAAATTGATATGTTTTCCTTTCAAAAAGTGCTTTTACTCGCGTTTAAAATCACTTACTCTTTATTAAGTCGAATGCTACAATTTTTATTAGCGCTATTTACCAGCCCAAGGAGTTATATCATCAATTCGCGAATACATCTACGTTCGCAAGGGACGGTCAGGGGATAACAAGGTGACCAACAACTCTCCGATGCAAATCGCCATCAATATTTATGACAAAATTTGTATTAATTGAATATGTACTTACCCAGCTTTTCTCACTGCGCCTGTGCAGTTGAACGACGCCGCAGCAGTGCCAGTTTGCTTAGCTTTGTAGGGCGAGTTCATAACGCTCTCGCCGTCATCTTCATCGGAGACTGCAGTCGTCAGGGACATGCGGTCATCGTCTGATATCTGCAACAAATAATCCAGTTGCCAATAAAATAATACTCACACGAAGTTGAAGAGAACCTGGCGAATTTGTAAACTCGCAACGTTACCACAAATTTCCCTTTTCACCCGCGTCTAATCCATCGAAAATTCAATAATTTTCCTCCGTTTAACACGCTCCTCGTCCCGTCAACATCCGATGATTGGCTTCATTAAATCGCCTGTCAACTAGAAATCGCTCTTCGAATTATTAAATTTCGCCGTTTGATTCGCATTCGACTCTCGGACGCGGCGGCGTCGTGTAATTTTATAAAAATTTTTACCGCGTTCGATGCGATTACACGGCGCTGCGGCCGGAAATTTCATCGAGTAATGCCGTCGTATTAATCAGTTTTCAATTTCCGATTGACGGGCATTCCGTGAATAAAGCAGCGGGGCCGGTTTTCTTCGACGGGAAGATCGCCGAGCTTGGCGGGAACCATTAATCGTCTCATTCAAAAAAACTTGTTCAGTCGCGCGATAATTATTATGCGTTTATTTGCAATTAACGAGTAGTTTCCGATATTTGCTAAATGTTGGAGTTCGCCCGCTTATCCGGGTTGCGTTGTAAGATTGATAATTAAAGTCGCGTTAATAATAAACGGTAAATGATTCGGAGTCGATAGAGGGATTTATTATTCAGCGCTTCGTTTGTTAGATCCCTTTAGCTTATTTGCTACGGTTTTAATTATCTTTTTGCTATCGAGATCTGAAGTAGACGTTTTCCCGTAATTATACTTTTCGTTTCGACTCTACTTCCTCATTAAAGCTGTACGCATTAAAGTGATAATTGCGCACAGAACCATACTTTTCTGGAGCCATTTTCGCCGGATTGACCTACATTTACGTGCAAGTGCGGCTTTTTTATGTAAAAGTATTCGTTTGAAAAGGGAGGTATTTGATTGGATTTTAGAACGTATCATTTGAAACACGAAACATATCACATTTTTGCTTAAGTGTATTTATTCGATCACGTTGTTTTTGCGCATTTTCGTTTGTTATACAAAGAATTTGTAGGTATTCGGAACGAAAATAAAACGGCCGAAGATATTTGATCGCATTCTGTAAAATGAGATTTTCTTGAAGGATCAACAACGCAGGTAATAATCTTATTCGTCGTGAATAAATTCATCTACCCACACATTCAATTCATATTTAAATTTTCCCGTAGGTGTAAAACTCACCTCTACATCACCCCGGTATCGATTAGCAGGTTGGCAGAAATTGTAGGCCGACATATTAGATATATTCGCATCGTCAAAATATTTATTTAACATAAATATCTATTAATTAATTCAATTTAGAATAAACCACTGGTACATAATGTAGTAAATTTATACGTTATATAACGCAGTAAAGCAGAAGTTCAAAGTTCATTATCTAAACAAATTAGTAGAAAGTTTAATAGTAACCAATTAGTACAAGTGCTCTTCATCTGGCACGTGTTAACGAACTAATTAGACAAACCTGCTGTGACCAACAATGTATAAATAAACTAAATATTATATTCGCATCAAACGGCTCTTAATAGGGGGTTTGCGAATGAGTTATATACCAAATGATGATATATCAAGTAAATACAATAACAATACTTCGAAGGATTATTGAAAGGTAGTTCGTAAAAAACTCAAACTGTACTTGGGAAAATTTTGTTTTTGACTTTTTACAACGTGTCATCAATAACGCGGGAGTAAAAGGCAGAATTTGCAAGAAAAGCCATTAGGCAGCGGATTTCTTCTTGCCATCAATCATGCCGGTTGTTGTTGAAAAGGGAATTGTTTTTCCCCCGCAGCCGTTATAAAACCTGCCTACCTGATTTCTAAACGGTCTCGCGTATTGCCACAAGAACGGGCAATATTAGCTTCACAAATGCCTTCTGGCATTATACAGTATTATAAAAACATATTTGCAATTGTAATAAAAAATAGGGATATGTAGGTACATAAAGTTCAGCAAATTCGTTTTAGAGGTAAAAAAGTCCACCTTTTTTTAATTACTCACTAACAAATGTTACCGCATCCTATTATTTCTCTTCATATAGAGCCTTTTTCGCGTTATCCAAACTTCGTAATTAAGCCTAGTTATAATTCTACCTGTCCTAGATACTCCTGTTTGGTTTCAAAGTGGAATTTCAGTTTTAAACCCCGTTTTATGTTAAAACTTTCCGCGGCTACTTAGCTTCCAAATCCATTTAATGTGCCCATAGATACGATATATAACGAGAAAATATATGTTCCTGCCTGGCTAATAATTTACAAGAATAAACACGAATTGTAACAAGCCAATTACGGAAAAATTAATAGGATTTAATTAAAGCATCAGTAATATAACTCTACAGGTCTGTGTAGCGCTCATGCGGAAGCTAATTTATTATCTGCACATGCACGATTTCCGATAGCGAATAAAATCATTCCGGGATCATGTAATTGTAGAGGCTTATCGTTGCAAAGGCTTCGAATTACAGGCAAAAACCTTTTGAAAGCGCGTTCGCGTTATCAAAGCGGATATCTTTCAGTCTTAGCTCGTATACACAATAAAGGGCAACGACGACTCCATATTCCAGCGCCCTAATCTCTTCGCCAGGGAAATTTTCATAGTTTTCCCGGCATAATGTAGCTCAACTACGACGCCAATTATGCAAATACACAGGCCAATTACGGTTTTTATTAACACGGCGAGCCGTAATGAATAACGAAATTTAAGGTGTGCTCTGCAGTCAACTCGAATTTCGTATGTTATATTAAATTTTAGACGTTGCAAAAGTCTTTTTCATTATGTTTAGTACACAAGAAATGGATTTTTCAATTCATTTAAATACTATTAGAAGAGATTGAAAAGGATTTATGCTGCTTTATTTATTAAAAAAGTTCTTCGATAGACATGAATTCAGCAGGTACAGTGGATACAAGAGTTATCTTTGTATCTCCTTAGAAAATAGTGATTAAAGTATCTCTATTTGCAAGAAAATTCATTAGAACGAAATCTTAATACCGCCCAGCGAATGCAATACCTACATCTCGTTCATTAAGGGAACATCCTTTGAAGACCCCAGCTTTCTATCAGATTTCAACTTTTAATTCAACCCGTAATCCATACCCGCCGACTACCAGGGCGGGTTTCGATTAAACAAACAAGATTTACGTTCCGTACGGTCCAAAAAAAATACCTATCTGCAGCGAAAGCGATCCGAAGATAAAACACAATGTTTTCGCGGATTAAAATTCAAACTTGAAGCGCACTTCGGCGATGCGTTCCGCTGGAAGAGCTCCCGGCTCTCTCGAATCGAGAGCTCGAAACAAAGGTCTCGCACTCGGAGACTTTTCTAAGAGCGTTCCTATACGAGATTTTTACTCGAAAAAGATTGACTTAAACTCGACTCGAATCGGTAATACAATACCTCTTTTTAGAGGTTTTTTCTGCTCCTGCAAAGAAGACTAAAATATTCCTGATTGCGTTTTTTTTTGTATTGTAGTAGGTCAAAAAACGTACATCTTCATATAATAATAAAATAACCTCTTAAAAAAGCGTTAATACAACAAATTTGCCCGGTAGATTTGCTTTAGGTTCGGATGAATTATACTATGGGAATATACTCCATTAAATCGGGTATTCAGTAATTCAGATCGATCGAGAACTTTCACGTATAATCAACAGATACGAGCGCGACGTTAACAAATACATTCCAATCAAACCGAAGCGTAATACACCTTCAATCAGCCCCAGCATGTTAAATTCTAATACACGTACTTTGATTAAGACGTGCATTTCAACATTCGACAACCGAGATGCAAATTTATCGACGATTTCGTCAGAGATGTCTCTGTATGATAATGTACCGTAATTTTCTATAGTGCTTTCATTCGCATCACTAGAGTCTTACTCGAAACTCAACTCAATTAAAAAATACAATTATATGAACATATAATAGCCTCAAATTCGTGGTAACAAAGAGCAAATCAAAATTTTATTGGCGCTAGGATACCTCTCACACTACGGAGTTGCTCCTGCAATAAATCCCGGAAAATCTCCGAAGATAAATTAGACGAGAGGATCTCTTGCATTACAAATGAAAAGATCCGGATCAACTGTTGATACAAGCGATACTTTAGGTCCACATTTGTACCCGTCTACCTGTTTCGATTTTGGTATTATCGGGGAAAATGCTTTTCATTAGAAGAAAAACCGAAAGCCGCAAGTGTGGCAGAGGGAATGATTTATTTACAACCTAAACTAGAAAGAAAACTTCCCCCTATAGAAGCCCTATTATAATTCGATGTAATTAAGTAATCGAGAAGGACTCACTTGAAGTTAGCTCGTGCATCTAGGAAGGTCGAGGGCTTGCAGTAAACAGTGATTATTCCCTTAAATGCAAATGTAAATGTTTATGCGAACGAATTAAAGATGCAGACTTGCATAAATTACATTCGAAGGGTACTTAGTAATTTATGTAACCGCGAACTTTGAGAGGTTGCATCGAAGGAACGTTCCGCGTGGAGTATCGAAATTTCCAGGAATAATTAACCACCAGAGGGGATTTTTATGTTCGTACTAAAGTAGCCGGGAAAATCCGTTTTTACGGTGGAGATTTGTACGATCGGCGCCGAATTGTGAGGTTTTTATACCGAAGAAAGTTTTATTGTTGCGGTATTATTGGCTTTTAAGAATAAATATTATAACAAAACCATGTCGAAATATACCATACGAATATTAATGTGTATTATTTATTTTATGTATACCTAACAGATTTATTTTTCCACGATCATATAAATTTATTTATGTGCTTCTATCAGCAAAAAAACATAATAAATCCAACAATATTTTTACGTTATTAATACTTTCTGTATATCTCACCCACTACCAATCTCTCGGTTTTTTGGGTTTCACCTATCTTTTTTCCGGCTTGACCGGCGGTCAACAAATTGATGTTTTACGTGATAAATCCTAGTGAATGGCCTCGTTTTTTCGGTGAATTTGTATGGAATTCA